AACCAGCAAATACATGCGCATATTTTGCTAATATTCATTGTAATTCATTTATTCTTACCATTGTAAAAGATGTGTTCTGCTATGGTACTCTCATTTCTCAACAAGGCCCCAAATTTGGTTTATGCTAATTGATTGACACATGCCACCTTCATCCATTAGCAGCATGCCCTCCAGAAATGACTAATGTTGTGTTTTCCAACCTTTCATGCACAAAGCTGCTTTCTGGATGCCAATGCCCTTATTCCTAATATGTCCTTCACCCCTTCCATCTGTTTCCTTGGTCTTCCCCTGTCCCTTTTATCGTGCACTTATAAAGTGTACACTATTTCTATCAGTCTTTCACTTCCCATTCTTTCTGTATGTCCATACCACTGTTGCTGACTCTTGATTCCTTCTCTGCCCACTACACCTGTCACTTCCACTTCAAATTTATCTTACTCTCATTCTCTTCATTCTATTTACAACACATTTCACTCAGACATGTCATATCTGTTGCTTCAAATTTGTTTTTCTTTTGAATCTCATTATAATGTTGACTCGACCATACCTTCATGCATCCCATCTTAACCACCATCCATCTAATGTTTTTTCTTCTGCTACACTATGATTTGTCACTCATCATTCCATTTGTAGACAATTCCACTCGTATATCTGAAATACTGTACTTGTTATCGGCCATTGCATCCCCCCATTTAATCTTAACGTTTATTTCCTTTCTTTACTAACTTTCATCGGTTTTGTTCACGTTTACCTTCAGCTTTCTCCATAGACACACAAACCCAAACTCATATAGTAATATTTGTAAGTTTTCTTCGAAATAATCCATTAAAACAGTGTTATCTCAAATAGTAACCAACTCGCTTATCATATGCTATATATCCCATAATACTCACCAAACTTGTATCTCTCGAGAATGAAGAGGCAATGCTCTCTGTTCTTCCTATTCTTTACAAAAAATTTACAGATGTGTTGGATCACATTCAGGTGGGCTGGGTATGATTAGGTTTCAAACGTAATATTGACCACAAACGAGTGATAACATTGTCCACAAATGAATTAAAAACATTGTCTACACCCAACATGTCAATAGCTAGGGGTTTCATAAGTACAGTAGAAGATAAGATTGATTTTGAGTTGGTATGGGTGACAAACAGGAAATACTAGAGGTAAGAGAGCAGGAGGATAAATACCTACTGTAGAAGAACATGAAAAACATGGTCTTTTTCCAGAGCCCATCATTATTATTATTATTATCATCATTATTATTATTACAGGCAGTCCTCACTTAGCATCAAGGCTCAATTCTTGAAAACTGTGATGTTAATCAAAAAGACTTAATTGAAACTGATAATCCCATGTACTTAATGTTATAGGTAGGTGTTATGAGCAAAGGATGTTTACAGGTCTTGGGATGGGTAATTAAGAAATTAAAGAAATCCTTTATTAAATCATGCCAATACAAGTACTGTAGTCTACAATCAGAGCAAGGGTTCCATTCCTAAAAACCCTTGGGATATGCAAAACAAATTTTTTACAAAACCAGCTGGGTGGTGGGGGGGGGGGTGTACTTGGCCCATACAAAAACTTCCAAGTCAATGAAAAATACATGAAATACGTAGATATATATGAAATACATTATAATGTATACTGTAGTAAAATGCAATTGAGAAGCTTTATGCATACTCTTCATTTCATGATTGTCACTTGGCCACCTGCCACCACAGTCCACTTATATCAGGTAGCCACTATCTACAGGTAGCCACTATCTACACCCATATTTGCCACTCTTATGACATTAAATCAATAAGCATATAATAAGTGCAATAATGTATAAAAGAATTATCTAATATGTGGTAACAATTGAGTTGGGGTAATGAGTGATGTTCTGTATTGAGAAGTGCGTACTGTATCCTGTTCCCTCCCCCGTGGATGTTGCTCCTTCACCAAACTCACCGTTTAAGAATGTCTAATTATTCCTCGAAAATGGTACTCATTTTCACAGTTTTTTTTTATTCAAGTTGCAAAGCATACCATCAGTGTACATGACTGACCGTAAAACGTGCTTACGGGAAATGGTGGGTTGTGTGAAGTGTCGGGTAAATTAGTTAAGTGTTTTGGGCTTTACTATAGAAATGGCATGCCATAGCATAAAAGAACATATCTACCCTTCTTTATAATAAGGAAAGTTTTGAAATGAAAGTGTTAGAAATGGGTACTTATGCCTTTAATGTTTAATGAATTTTCCATGTTCAATTTTAGTTGTTGTCAATAATAATTTTATCATTGTTTTTGTGTATTTGTCCATAATTTATCTAACCTACTTTTTGCAAGGTTGAGTATATCATCATGCCAGGATGGCAGCAAGATACTGCTCAGTGCCGAACTTATGAAGAGCTTCCACAAAATGCACGTAATTATGTTGAAAAAATTGAGGAACTTGTCTGTGTACCAGGTATGTACAATGCTGTATATAGTAGATTTTTAAATGCTGACACTTAATTCCTTGGTGTTATTGATAACTCATACCAGGTATGGGCAACCCGTGGCCTGGACCATGTCTTTGTGTGGCCTGTGGAGTGATTGAGAAATTCTATTTATTGTGGCCCAAGGTTCATGTAGATGTAACCAGTTTATGGTGAGTAAAGCAATATTTATTAAAAGAATAACCTTCACACACAATTCGTTACCATTTCATCACCTAAGGGCAAGTAACTACGAAACTAACAGTGAAATTCAGTAAGTATATACGTATAGTCAATATAAAATTTTAATTTGTGAAAGTTTACTGACCAAGTTCAGTGTGGTCTGTTTGATGGATTAGCTGCCATGTGGCATTGGGTCACATGGGAATTAGCTAAGGTTGGGTAAGTCCAATGGGGTCACGGGCAGTGGTCACACAGGACTTGACTAATTAAGTACTGTACTTCCAGAATAACACAAAAACACCTAAATTGCACCTCGGTAACCCACAGTTGGCGAGTAATTAGCATTGAAAAAATTTAATTAAAATTTTCCAAGCATCATTATGGCCACTAATTACCCTGCAATCAAATCTTGGACCATAGTGTCAGAATCAGGCTGCTCAGGAGTACCTAAACTGAGATTTTAAACAAAATCAAATTTTTGGCCGAAACCGTCAAAATATTAAGCCTTATATGCCTTCATAATTTTTTGACTGAAATATACTTTTTTCTTGAAATTGGAATTTAAAGGATTTAACAAATTAAGTACTTCCAAAATAACACAAAAACACCAAAATCACACCTCGGAAACCCATAGTTGGCGAATAATTAGCGTTGAAATAATGTAATTAAAATCTTCCAAGCATCATTACGACCACTAATTACCTTGCAAATTGAATTGTGGACCATAGATTCAGAATCAGCATGATCAGGAGTACCTAAACTTAGATTTTCAACAAAATCTAATTTTTGGCCAAAACTGCCAATTTTATTGAGAGAGAGAGAGAGAGAGGGAGAGAGAGAGAGAGAGAGAGAGAGAGAGGTTGTTTCATTGTAGTTCGTCATGCCAATATTAACATTGACATTATTCTGGTGGGTGTGTCTCACAAGTAAGAAACATGCTGTAACTGTAGGAAAAATCAACTTATTAACAATACTGCTTCTCATCTTCTGTTAAATGCCAAGAAACATTAACATATTACTTCAAAATTATCATGATGGATTTGTTTCATAAATGGGAAAAGACTGTGGTTGTAAACTGAAAATATCGTAAGGTGGCCATGACGATAAACTGTTAGGTAGGATATAAATTTTGGTGGGTTGACCTGCAGAAAAATACCTAAATCGTAATGCGGCCCATGACTGAGGAAAGGTTGCCCATGCCTGACTTATACCAATGAGTGCTGGACTTAAAAGTATGTTTCAGATGTGTCCACAGCACTTCAAAGAAATTTGCTGAATTTATGATTTCTATAGATGCCTGCAGCTTGTCTCGAACATCTCAAGCCATGGAAAAAAAATTGTGTGGTGGTTTCTCTTGTCCATAAAGTCCACTAAGGTGTCAGAGGGAGGCTACTTAAGTAATGGCAAAAGCTACTTTTAGTACTGTTTTTAACCATTTATAATTTTTGGTTGTAAATAGTACAGTACTGTATTATAAGGACACTACAACTTTATTCAGGCCCTTTTTTTTCAAAACTAATTATCCTTCAAGAGGAGGGAATTATGACACCTGCATTGCTTACAGTTAAGTTGAAGCTAACTTTATGTACAGTACTGTATTGTTATTTACTTGTTATATTACCTGTACAGTATTTTGATGTATTATACTGTAGGTGTTTTTTAACAGATAGATAAAGCCATTTTTTTTATATAATATTTCCTACTTTGAAGCTCTGTTTAAAGAGTTAAAGGATATTAGTTAGATAGTTGTTATTATTGAACTTTCCATTTAGTGTTTGTAAATATTCGAAAATATAATATATACATATCATTATTTCAGTCAAGTGGATTGGTGTTGGAAAATCACGAGCCTCCATGATTACCATCTTCTAGGAGTTGAAGTCTTGTAGAAAGAAAGTTGGAAATAAGAGTCCCCCACAGAGGGCCTGCAGTGTTAGTGAAGTTGAGACAGATAGTTTTATGTATGTTCAACAGAAAAGTTCACCTACGAATTGAAGATAAAACTCGGAATTAAATTAACGTGTTCAAGATTTTGGCAGTTTCATTTAAAACTGTGTCACTTGGGAGAGAATTTCACACACACACACACACACACACAAAAACACACACATACAAGATATAGACACTCATTTTCTGATTTTATTTTATTTATTATTTTTTATTTATATTTTTTGAGAATCTTAACATCTTAGTACTGGTATGCTTTTTTTTATAGAAAATTTGAATTAGATGTCCATATTGTAAATATTGAAGACTTTTTTATTTAAGTCGAAGGAAGTTGTTTGACATTCTTGCTGTAGTGTTGTGTACAGGAACTAGGTCCTGCATGACATTTTCTCAAGTGATGCTTTTTGACTGCTGGGTTTCGTCTGGCTACAACTTGCTGGCAAAGATAACTTAATATAATTCTTGATTTGTGTTCTTGGCAATTTTTTCTTTTTGTAACTTAACCATGAATCAAAACATTTTGAAGTACAGTAAATTGTTATATTGTTATACATTTCTCAGAGGAAGCAAAGGTGAACAACAATTGTTATGAAAATCAAATTAATGGCAGAGCAGTAACAAAACAACATATCAAAGCAGCCTAGGCCTGGGGGCAAAATATAATAATAATAATAATAATAATAATAATAATAATAATAATACCATGTACCTGTGCTGACTAAATAGAATTTAACACATGGTAGAGATTTCAGAAGAGATTGTTTGTAGAGCTGCTCAAAGAAGTGATGGTAGTGTGTGAGTATTGAGTTTTTGACCAAAAACTTATCAATTTGAAACCCCAATTTAAATTGGAATTTTCCCTAATACATCTGTGATGTATAAATGAAACGACATTATTAGGAGGAACATGAAGAGGATTTACTGTATAAAATTGTGAGAAATATATAAAAGGATAGATAGTGAGTGGCGCGCAGTACCCAATAAAGAAAATTTATCAAAAAATATGGTTATAATTTTTTTATGGTTTTATATAAAAATTTATTGGACTTATGATCACCATTCCTGAACTATTATATATGAAAATATTGTATGGCATGTAATGAGTGTGTGTGTGTGTGTGTATATATATATATATATGTGTATATATATATATATATGTGTATATATATATATATATATATATATATATATATATATATATATATATATATATATATATATATATATATATATATATATATAAATTACTTTTTCTTTTTATCCTGGGTTTGATAGGTGCTAATAACTTTTGTAAAGATTATAAAAAATTTTCTGTTCATTGTAAATTATGTGAAAATATCAGTCGGTATAGTTTTCTCGTAATTCCCTCGTTTCCATTTTGGGCTTGCATTTCGTAGAAAATTTGGGGACAAGCAATAAGGATGTTTCTTCAAACCCTGGTGCTTCTAACATCCTTACATAGATACGTACAGTCATATGCATGCTTGTGTATTAAATAATTTTCTAAATGATACTGTGTATATTAGAGACCCTCAGTTTTGTAAATTCAGATCGAATCCCTTTAATATGGCACCCAGTGGTCTCGCATGATTTTCAAATTGGTGTCTAGGCATTACAGTAGTTGGTAATAGTTTTGTGTCCCATGCTTCTACAAATATTTTTTTTACAACTGCCAGTCCAGGCTCTTATTGTTCTGTTCTCTGGTTTAATTTAGTTCTAGTTTACCCATTAATATGGCTTTAAAAAGACCAGCAAGTGGTAAGCTACATTGGGCTTACATATACACTAATATTCCCCCTCAGCATATTGTACAGTAGTAAAATACTGTTCATATATTTCACTACAAACCCACCAGGTATTAAGATATTTAAATGAAAATTTCTCTTGTAGGTGGGTTTAGTGTTGGGCAGATTAGTACTGTATTAATTACTCTATTTTGTTGATTATTGTTACATTATTTTGAGGAAATGGTAATATTTTTTGTCAGCAGGAATGCATCTTCGGTCTTTACCTGTTTTACTTTTTATAAACCTGTACTGTATTTCTATTTTACGAATCAGTACAGTAGAAGATTTTTTTCACGAGACTTCAGCTGACCACCTGTGGTTCAGAAATTTAAATGGTTGAGCACCAGTCAGATTCTTAGGGTTCTTGATGAGAGGGAATTGATCTGTACAGTACATACTTTCTATTATAACTAATAAAAATTTGTGTTTGTTGTACAATATACAACAAGTACGGTATGCCTTTGTTATTTTTCATGTTTAAGTTTCATGAGGAAAAACACTGTAGACCTCTTCTTATGGAGGGTAATGAAAGACATGAAACTAATATGTTTTACAATATATATATATATATGCAAGTAAATCAATCTCACTTTCGATCAATGGTTTGATTGTAATTGAAAGCACGTAAAAACATTGTTGAAAATACTGACTGCCCACCATAATAGAGTCAGTCAGTATTTTCAACAATGTTTTTACGTGCTTTGAGAATTTGCAGTCTGGAATTCATTGATGAGGAATATAAATATATCTATAATATTGGCTTGAACCTTAAATACCCTAGATCTTTCATAGACAAATGCCTAAACATTACGAAGAAAACTTTTTATAGAACTGATCCCAAGCCCACCCATGACCATAAGAATATTTTAATATTACCATTTCACAAAAATTTCTCACACATTCCTTTACAACTAAAAACCTGGAACGTCAATGTGGCATTTAAAAACTCATGCACTGTTAAACAAATGTTAATCAAGAGCTCCCCCAACAACACAATTGGTTGCATTTATAAAGCTCCTTGCAAGGAATGTAATATGTTTTACTTAGGCCAGACAGGTAAAGATCTTGTAACCAGACTTAAACAACATACATATAGTGTTAGGACAGGCCAGGAATCCAATGCTCTGTTTGTTCATTTGAGGGACAACAGGCATTGCATTGACTGGGATAATGCCTCCTCAATATTACCTTGTAATTCAATTGATAGTAGGAACATCATAGAATCTAGTCTCATTAAACATACCGAAGCATTCAACATGAATTTGAGTAATGGCATGTACAAACTGGACAATTTTGTAATTAAGAAGATTTGTAACCAGGTGAGAAGGTTGGGTCACCTTACCCTCTGACCTGACTACCGACCGTTGCCGTGCTATTTAAAGATTAGTAGGGTCATTACCTAATACCTGACCACTATGGACCTGGTCTCACCCTCCTCTGTATATATACACCTTGTTTTGTACTCCTCTTTAGTCTGTACTCACCCCTGAAGATGTGAATTACACGAAAGCGCTTGGGAACTTCGTGTTTTCTTCTTTCCTTGTGGTTATCAGCATATACCTAGATCACGCGCACCTACAGCGATTTACTTGCATATATATATATATATTGTAAAACATATTAGTTTCATGTCTTTCATTACCCTCCATAAGAAGAGGTCTACAGTGTTTTTCCTCATGAAACTTAAACATGAAAAATAACAAAGGCATACCGTACTTGTTGTATATTGTACAACAAACACAAATTTTTATTAGTTATAATAGAAAGTATGTACTGTACAGATCAATTCCCTCTCATCAAGAACCCTAAGAATCTGACTGGTGCTCAACCATTTAAATTTCTGAACCACAGGTGGTCAGCTGAAGTCTCGTGAAAAAAATCTTCTACTGTACTGATTCGTAAAATAGAAATACAGTACAGGTTTATAAAAAGTAAAACAGGTAAAGACCGAAGATGCATTCCTGCTGACAAAAAATATTACCATTTCCTCAAAATAATGTAACAATAATCAACAAAATAGAGTAATTAATACAGTACTAATCTGCCCAACACTAAACCCACCTACAAGAGAAATTTTCATTTAAATATCTTAATACCTGGTGGGTTTGTAGTGAAATATATGAACAGTATTTTACTACTGTACAATATGCTGAGGGGGAATATTAGTGTATATGTAAGCCCAATGTAGCTTACCACTTGCTGGTCTTTTTAAAGCCATATTAATGGGTAAACTAGAACTAAATTAAACCAGAGAACAGAACAATAAGAGCCTGGACTGGCAGTTGTAAAAAAAATATTTGTAGAAGCATGGGACACAAAACTATTACCAACTACTGTAATGCCTAGACACCAATTTGAAAATCATGCGAGACCACTGGGTGCCATATTAAAGGGATTCGATCTGAATTTACAAAACTGAGGGTCTCTAATATACACAGTATCATTTAGAAAATTATTTAATACACAAGCATGCATATGACTGTACGTATCTATGTAAGGATGTTAGAAGCACCAGGGTTTGAAGAAACATCCTTATTGCTTGTCCCCAAATTTTCTACGAAATGCAAGCCCAAAATGGAAACGAGGGAATTACGAGAAAACTATACCGACTGATATTTTCACATAATTTACAATGAACAGAAAATTTTTTATAATCTTTACAAAAGTTATTAGCACCTATCAAACCCAGGATAAAAAGAAAAAGTAATTTATATATATATATATATATATATATATATATATATATATATATATATATATATATATATATATATATATATATATATATATACACATATATATATATATATACACATATATATATATATATACACACACACACACACACTCATTACATGCCATACAATATTTTCATATATAATAGTTCAGGAATGGTGATCATAAGTCCAATAAATTTTTATATAAAACCATAAAAAAATTATAACCATATTTTTTGATAAATTTTCTTTATTGGGTACTGCGCGCCACTCACTATCTATCCTTTTATATATTTCTCACAATTTTATACAGTAAATCCTCTTCATGTTCCTCCTAATAATGTCGTTTCATTTATACATCACAGATGTATTAGGGAAAATTCCAATTTAAATTGGGGTTTCAAATTGATAAGTTTTTGGTCAAAAACTCAATACTCACACACTACCATCACTTCTTTGAGCAGCTCTACAAACAATCTCTTCTGAAATCTCTACCATGTGTTAAATTCTATTTAGTCAGCACAGGTACATGGTATTATTATTATTATTATTATTATTATTATTATTATTATTATATTTTGCCCCCAGGCCTAGGCTGCTTTGATATGTTGTTTTGTTACTGCTCTGCCATTAATTTGATTTTCATAACAATTGTTGTTCACCTTTGCTTCCTCTGAGAAATGTATAACAATATAACAATTTACTGTACTTCAAAATGTTTTGATTCATGGTTAAGTTACAAAAAGAAAAAATTGCCAAGAACACAAATCAAGAATTATATTAAGTTATCTTTGCCAGCAAGTTGTAGCCAGACGAAACCCAGCAGTCAAAAAGCATCACTTGAGAAAATGTCATGCAGGACCTAGTTCCTGTACACAACACTACAGCAAGAATGTCAAACAACTTCCTTCGACTTAAATAAAAAAGTCTTCAATATTTACAATATGGACATCTAATTCAAATTTTCTATAAAAAAAAGCATACCAGTACTAAGATGTTAAGATTCTCAAAAAATATAAATAAAAAATAATAAATAAAATAAAATCAGAAAATGAGTGTCTATATCTTGTATGTGTGTGTTTTTGTGTGTGTGTGTGTGTGTGTGTGAAATTCTCTCCCAAGTGACACAGTTTTAAATGAAACTGCCAAAATCTTGAACACGTTAATTTAATTCCGAGTTTTATCTTCAATTCGTAGGTGAACTTTTCTGTTGAACATACATAAAACTATCTGTCTCAACTTCACTAACACTGCAGGCCCTCTGTGGGGGACTCTTATTTCCAACTTTCTTTCTACAAGACTTCAACTCCTAGAAGATGGTAATCATGGAGGCTCGTGATTTTCCAACACCAATCCACTTGACTGAAATAATGATATGTATATATTATATTTTCGAATATTTACAAACACTAAATGGAAAGTTCAATAATAACAACTATCTAACTAATATCCTTTAACTCTTTAAACAGAGCTTCAAAGTAGGAAATATTATATAAAAAAAATGGCTTTATCTATCTGTTAAAAAACACCTACAGTATAATACATCAAAATACTGTACAGGTAATATAACAAGTAAATAACAATACAGTACTGTACATAAAGTTAGCTTCAACTTAACTGTAAGCAATGCAGGTGTCATAATTCCCTCCTCTTGAAGGATAATTAGTTTTGAAAAAAAAGGGCCTGAATAAAGTTGTAGTGTCCTTATAATACAGTACTGTACTATTTACAACCAAAAATTATAAATGGTTAAAAACAGTACTAAAAGTAGCTTTTGCCATTACTTAAGTAGCCTCCCTCTGACACCTTAGTGGACTTTATGGACAAGAGAAACCACCACACAATTTTTTTTCCATGGCTTGAGATGTTCGAGACAAGCTGCAGGCATCTATAGAAATCATAAATTCAGCAAATTTCTTTGAAGTGCTGTGGACACATCTGAAACATACTTTTAAGTCCAGCACTCATTGGTATAAGTCAGGCATGGGCAACCTTTCCTCAGTCATGGGCCGCATTACGATTTAGGTATTTTTCTGCAGGTCAACCCACCAAAATTTATATCCTACCTAACAGTTTATCGTCATGGCCACCTTACGATATTTTCAGTTTACAACCACAGTCTTTTCCCATTTATGAAACAAATCCATCATGATAATTTTGAAGTAATATGTTAATGTTTCTTGGCATTTAACAGAAGATGAGAAGCAGTATTGTTAATAAGTTGATTTTTCCTACAGTTACAGCATGTTTCTTACTTGTGAGACACACCCACCAGAATAATGTCAATGTTAATATTGGCATGACGAACTACAATGAAACAACCTCTCTCTCTCTCTCTCTCTCTCTCTCTCCCTCTCTCTCTCTCTCTCTCAATAAAATTGGCAGTTTTGGCCAAAAATTAGATTTTGTTGAAAATCTAAGTTTAGGTACTCCTGATCATGCTGATTCTGAATCTATGGTCCACAATTCAATTTGCAAGGTAATTAGTGGTCGTAATGATGCTTGGAAGATTTTAATTACATTATTTCAACGCTAATTATTCGCCAACTATGGGTTTCCGAGGTGTGATTTTGGTGTTTTTGTGTTATTTTGGAAGTACTTAATTTGTTAAATCCTTTAAATTCCAATTTCAAGAAAAAAGTATATTTCAGTCAAAAAATTATGAAGGCATATAAGGCTTAATATTTTGACGGTTTCGGCCAAAAATTTGATTTTGTTTAAAATCTCAGTTTAGGTACTCCTGAGCAGCCTGATTCTGACACTATGGTCCAAGATTTGATTGCAGGGTAATTAGTGGCCATAATGATGCTTGGAAAATTTTAATTAAATTTTTTCAATGCTAATTACTCGCCAACTGTGGGTTACCGAGGTGCAATTTAGGTGTTTTTGTGTTATTCTGGAAGTACAGTACTTAATTAGTCAAGTCCTGTGTGACCACTGCCCGTGACCCCATTGGACTTACCCAACCTTAGCTAATTCCCATGTGACCCAATGCCACATGGCAGCTAATCCATCAAACAGACCACACTGAACTTGGTCAGTAAACTTTCACAAATTAAAATTTTATATTGACTATACGTATATACTTACTGAATTTCACTGTTAGTTTCGTAGTTACTTGCCCTTAGGTGATGAAATGGTAACGAATTGTGTGTGAAGGTTATTCTTTTAATAAATATTGCTTTACTCACCATAAACTGGTTACATCTACATGAACCTTGGGCCACAATAAATAGAATTTCTCAATCACTCCACAGGCCACACAAAGACATGGTCCAGGCCACGGGTTGCCCATACCTGGTATGAGTTATCAATAACACCAAGGAATTAAGTGTCAGCATTTAAAAATCTACTATATACAGCATTGTACATACCTGGTACACAGACAAGTTCCTCAATTTTTTCAACATAATTACGTGCATTTTGTGGAAGCTCTTCATAAGTTCGGCACTGAGCAGTATCTTGCTGCCATCCTGGCATGATGATATACTCAACCTTGCAAAAAGTAGGTTAGATAAATTATGGACAAATACACAAAAACAATGATAAAATTATTATTGACAACAACTAAAATTGAACATGGAAAATTCATTAAACATTAAAGGCATAAGTACCCATTTCTAACACTTTCATTTCAAAACTTTCCTTATTATAAAGAAGGGTAGATATGTTCTTTTATGCTATGGCATGCCATTTCTATAGTAAAGCCCAAAACACTTAACTAATTTACCCGACACTTCACACAACCCACCATTTCCCGTAAGCACGTTTTACGGTCAGTCATGTACACTGATGGTATGCTTTGCAACTTGAATAAAAAAAAACTGTGAAAATGAGTACCATTTTCGAGGAATAATTAGACATTCTTAAACGGTGAGTTTGGTGAAGGAGCAACATCCACGGGGGAGGGAACAGGATACAGTACGCACTTCTCAATACAGAACATCACTCATTACCCCAACTCAATTGTTACCACATATTAGATAATTCTTTTATACATTATTGCACTTATTATATGCTTATTGATTTAATGTCATAAGAGTGGCAAATATGGGTGTAGATAGTGGCTACCTGTAGATAGTGGCTACCTGATATAAGTGGACTGTGGTGGCAGGTGGCCAAGTGACAATCATGAAATGAAGAGTATGCATAAAGCTTCTCAATTGCATTTTACTACAGTATACATTATAATGTATTTCATATATATCTACGTATTTCATGTATTTTTCATTGACTTGGAAGTTTTTGTATGGGCCAAGTACACCCCCCCCCCCACCACCCAGCTGGTTTTGTAAAAAATTTGTTTTGCATATCCCAAGGGTTTTTAGGAATGGAACCCTTGCTCTGATTGTAGACTACAGTACTTGTATTGGCATGATTTAATAAAGGATTTCTTTAATTTCTTAATTACCCATCCCAAGACCTGTAAACATCCTTTGCTCATAACACCTACCTATAACATTAAGTACATGGGATTATCAGTTTCAATTAAGTCTTTTTGATTAACATCACAGTTTTCAAGAATTGAGCCTTGATGCTAAGTGAGGACTGCCTGTAATAATAATAATGATGATAATAATAATAATAATGATGGGCTCTGGAAAAAGACCATGTTTTTCATGTTCTTCTACAGTAGGTATTTATCCTCCTGCTCTCTTACCTCTAGTATTTCCTGTTTGTCACCCATACCAACTCAAAATCAATCTTATCTTCTACTGTACTTATGAAACCCCTAGCTATTGACATGTTGGGTGTAGACAATGTTTTTAATTCATTTGTGGACAATGTTATCACTCGTTTGTGGTCAATATTACGTTTGAAACCTAATCATACCCAGCCCACCTGAATGTGATCCAACACATCTGTAAATTTTTTGTAAAGAATAGGAAGAACAGAGAGCATTGCCTCTTCATTCTCGAGAGATACAAGTTTGGTGAGTATTATGGGATATATAGCATATGATAAGCGAGTTGGTTACTATTTGAGATAACACTGTTTTAATGGATTATTTCGAAGAAAACTTACAAATATTACTATATGAGTTTGGGTTTGTGTGTCTATGGAGAAAGCTGAAGGTAAACGTGAACAAAACCGATGAAAGTTAGTAAAGAAAGGAAATAAACGTTAAGATTAAATGGGGGGATGCAATGGCCGATAACAAGTACAGTATTTCAGATATACGAGTGGAATTGTCTACAAATGGAATGATGAGTGACAAATCATAGTGTAGCAGAAGAAAAAACATTAGATGGATGGTGGTTAAGATGGGATGCATGAAGGTATGGTCGAGTCAACATTATAATGAGATTCAAAAGAAAAACAAATTTGAAGCAACAGATATGACATGTCTGAGTGAAATGTGTTGTAAATAGAATGAAGAGAATGAGAGTAAGATAAATTTGAAGTGGAAGTGACAGGTGTAGTGGGCAGAGAAGGAATCAAGAGTCAGCAACAGTGGTATGGACATACAGAAAGAATGGGAAGTGAAAGACTGATAGAAATAGTGTACACTTTATAAGTGCACGATAAAAGGGACAGGGGAAGACCAAGGAAACAGATGGAAGGGGTGAAGGACATATTAGGAATAAGGGCATTGGCATCCAGAAAGCAGCTTTGTGCATGAAAGGTTGGAAAACACAACATTAGTCATTTCTGGAGGGCATGCTGCTAATGGATGAAGGTGGCATGTGTCAATCAATTAGCATAAACCAAATTTGGGGCCTTGTTGAGAAATGAGAGTACCATAGCAGAACACATCTTTTACAATGGTAAGAATAAATGAATTACAATGAATATTAGCAAAATATGCGCATGTATTTGCTGGTTTGCATCCACCCTACACTAAACAGAAAAACTAAAAAAGCATTTAAAAAATACTCTATGCAAGGCATTTCCTCAATTTTATTCACCCCCTCACCAACAGAAGGACTGGGCATATCAATCTTATGTTTAACATTTTCTGATCACCCATTATTCAATATAAACAATTATAAAAGACTTACTTTTATGTCCTCCAGCTCACCCATGTTTGCTGGAAAATGTTCCATTTTCTCTCCATTTCTTTTCAAGTAGCCAACACCAATCTTGATTTCTGCAACACCATTACAGTTAAACAAAAAACAACAATGAATGCTAAATTCATAAAGTTCAAGCAATTATATAAAATTGTTTATTCAATAATACTGTACTTGGTCCATAGTGAAAAATTTATAAGATACTGTACCATGAAATTATTTTGCCAAATAAACCAAAAAATACAGAAATTCGATTTTATGGCTGAGGGAACAAAATGTGTGCCCTGTCAGATCCTACCATTAACACCCCTAGGCACAGATTGCCATTGTCTAAAAAGTGAGTCATAGCAGGGGCACATTATTCCTATGGACAAAACATGTACTCCATGCTACCCCCATCAAATCAAAGTAAAATTAATTCCAGACTGATTGTTATCACCATGACTGGCGAGGCCTTATAATTTCACTTCTCGTTCAGTCTAGAACCCTTTTCTTGGGATGGAGAGAATCAATGACAAATTCCGCTCTTTCAGTCCTAAAATGGGATTTCATGCTTCAGTCTTTCATCTGCAACAGACAGGTCCAAAGAAATGACCACAGATATTTTACAGCTTGCTTGGGAACATGAGGAGGCCCTTAGTTAAGAGGCACAACCCCTGGAAACAACAACCAGTCTGGAATTGATTATACTTTGACATAATAGGAGGTCAGCATGATGCCCATAATAAATAAATAAATAAATAAATAAATAAACATATATATATATATATATATATATATATATATATATATATATATATATATATATATATATATATATATATATATATATATATATATATATATATATATATATATATATATATATATATATATATATATATATATATATATATATATATATATATATATATATATATATATATTAAATGAAACCCCAGTATTCATACCTTTCAATACATCTAATATATCCAGCTTGGTAAGAGCAATAGCAGTATAACCATTCACCATATTGGTATGTCTCAGCAGCACTACATCTAACCAGCCACATCGTCTTGGCCTCCCAGTAGTCACTCCAAATTCAGCTCCACGATTCTGCAATAACTTTCCAATGTCCTAGAAAAAGGTTCAAAATTTAGAAATCTTTTTTCTTCCTTTTGTACATCACTACATTCATAGGTGAAAAGTGGGTTCCATAGGCATGACTGTTCATTAGGGACAGTGTGGATACAGCACACTGTATACTAAATGTGTACCGAAGGCTTAATATACAGTGAGCTGTATCCACACTATCCCTAAAGAACAGTCATGCCTATAGGACCCACTTTTCACATTCATAAACTACAACCTGGTGACATTTCCAAAGCGAAGTCGTAAGAAATCCCAAGGAAATAAAGGAGATCTATACCTTTTCACTAGCTTCAAGGCAGGTGTAGTACACTACTATATCCTGATTCAGAACCAACCCATCTCAAAGACCTAAGATGCATGATGCATCAAAATCCAAACCAAATTTGTGACTATGGAAGTATGCTCCCAAAGTGGATCTGTGTACTGAAGACAGTTAACTCATGTTGCAAGGAAAATTATTTAAGTTTACACAGAGATTATCAGAAAACGATTATAGTACTGTACAAGCAACCACTGCGATGCGGAATCCCGGGTTACAGAAGTTCACCGTTACGGATTTTGAAATTATGACCAAAAAATTTGCGATACGAAACGGACAAAAAACTCACCCCTATGGAATTTGGGTATATTAAAAAAAAATTCTAACAAAAATTGTGAAACAAGAAAATTCACGGATTATAAAATTTATTTGGTGTGGATTCTGGTGGTAGCTACATGATGGCTGGAAGGCAGCTCACCCCTCCAGCTGCTAGCAACCACCACAACAATGGTGCTGCTCAGTTTGAATTCTTTCCCCAGGTTGTGTTCAGTTATGCATAGTGTTACTGTGTACCCTTATTCAAGATGAGTGGAAAAAGACCATCAAGTTCAATTTAAAGTAGTGGTGATAAAAGATTTCATAAAGGAATTATGTTGGACTATAAAAATGTTTTAAGGAGGTTACTCACAGTAACTCCTCACCTCACCACCTCCTGCAGCACTTAACATCATTTTTGCTATGTTATTTTCAAGTGTTGTGTGCATTTATTGTCATGTTGCATCATGAATGAGTCATATGTGCCTATTTCCATTCATATATGTGCTTGTGTTAAATTTCCATAGGAATGCATCTCAACTTATATAAGGAGTCAAACTTTTCAAACTTCAATTAGTTGATACAGTATGGAAATGCCAGATTTTTCTGAAGCTGTTTGTGGAAATCATTATGAAATTCTTTATGCAGACTTCTCTAACTAGTGATAAAAATAAAGAAACTACAAGCCAAGAACAATCATTTTGTGATACAATATTTTGAACTTTAACCCTAGCAAGACTTCATAAAATAATAACATTTCAAAACAGTTACATTTCCTACACGGTATCTTATTGAAAATGTCTCCAAGCCCCATTTCAACTCCTCAAAACCTTGGGGTATTTATAGGGCAAAAGGTTCTTGCAGTTTAGGACAATGCATAAAGCAAATGTAAACTATTTCTTTTATCAAACTTAATGGCACTAGACAGAGGTCAATTGAACCCACAGGGTACCGCGGAAAGTGAAAACCGCGTAAAGTGAACAACAGAACATATGGGATTAATTCCAATAGAGACTGGCCCGACCCCCAAATTCCACTCCACTTTTTCCGACACAATACCTATGTTGTAGTAAAAATAACATCTAAACTTTATGATGGTATGCTCACACAATTAATATTTAAGAGAAATACAGTTGCCAGGTTAATGTCCATTCAAATAATGGACTCAAATTCCCCCCCCCCCCCTCTTTCCAGCTCACTGGCCCCTACCTCTCTGAGAAATGATTGGGTGAAACACTAGATTTTAACGTTTAGTAATAAATAATACCTCAGACTAAAGTTAGGATAATATAATTGACATTTCTGGATTCCTTGCAGGTCAGGGAATATTTTGAATGTAAACTTCATATATTTTGCACACAAGATAAAATACTTGCTTTGTGTAAACCAAATTTTTACATTAGATCTAAAATTTGTATGTCTAATGCAAAATCCATGATGTTTATATTCAAAATGATCATCATATTGTAAGAATTCCAGCAATGTAAATTATATTCTGGCCGGGTAATTTGTATGAATTTTATGAGCTATAAAAAAAAAAAAAATTATACTTCACGCGTATATGAGTAGATGCACCGCGGAAAGTGAAAGTCCGGTTCTGGTACCTCGCGTAAATGAGAAATCGCAGAAAGTGAAATCGTGTAAAGCAGGGTAATACTGTAATAATAATAATAATAATAAACTACATTTAAGTCTATGAATATTGTTAAATCTAATGTATAATAAATTTGGTTTACAAGCACAAACATGTTCTAGGAGAAAAATTTGCAAATTCAAGGGCACAAAGATAGGATAAAAGAGTGAACTGTGAAAATTTTATTGACATAATATTTCTGATATAAATGCATGAGCAAATTTCAAAGTAACAACACGATCTATAATTCAAATGCGTCCCTGAATTTTCATAGACTCTACAGTACTTAGAAAAAATACAGTATAGTCTGCATTTACGCGGTCAATTGAACCCGTGGAGGTCCTCGTAAAACGAGAAACGAGTAAACGAAATAACAGAACATATGGGATTAATTGAAATAGAGACTGGGCCAACTCCCAAACTCCACTTTTTCCGACACAATACGTACCTTGTAGTAAAAATAACATCATAATTTTATGATGGTATTGACACACACACATAATATCTAAATAGAAAAAAACTACAAATATAAAGGTGTTTAACAGTTACGTTAGTAGAAGAGATGGGTCGGCACACGTGGATGGCAGCTGGTTCCAAGGCAGAGGGCAGATTAGTGGCCCTCCGGTGAATCACTATCACAACTCAGAGGTTTGCAGGGCCTCCCTGACAAACCCCTCAAAGTCCATATCCTGTCACTATCACTGACTTGGGCTGGCTGTGGTTGTGGTGGGTTGCGGGCTCCATAATTTTCGACAGAAGGTTATTGGACACTTCATACCGATGCTTGACTGTGTCAAGGATGAGCTTGATTTTCTCCCCCAACTCGATGATTTCCTTCACATAACCATGGTTTGGTCCAGGTAGTTCAAGGTTTCTCGGGGGTGGTGGGGGTCCAGCGGAAGCCATCGAGGGGAATAGCGGGCACAAGAGAGAACAGTATACGCGGAGAATTGAGAACAATGAGACTGGCCCGGCTAGGTCAGCAACTTCTTCCCTCTGGTGGCAGGGCACGTCATGTTACATTAGACCAATCACAGCTAGCGGAGGAGGGAATGCGTGGGTGGTAAGGATGCGTGGCCCAATCACAGTCCGATACGTCATATGATGTCAGCGATAACGTAAGAGCGACCTAATGCGCACCTTCCAGGCGCCGCTTTCCGCGTAAATGATGGAATGAACCGCGTAACTTAAAATTTTCATTCTGGTAAGGTGCCGCGTAAATGACCAAACGAGTAAACAAAATC